CCAAATCGTATCCGCCTCGTCTTGCTTTCGAGTAACGTTACGCGACGTCGACGATTCTGGAGCGACAATCCGTCGCAGTTGCTCCATCCTAGGATCCGCCCTATTAGCCCGCGACAATATGAAATGCAGTAGCTGCGGAAATTTGAAGACATATTCTCTGATCGATAATTATTCGTGTTAAAAATTTCTTCCAATAAACCAATGACAATACCTATGGACAAAGGTATCTTCGTCTATTTTATGTTCGATGCTATTTGACGTTAAGGTCGAAAAACTATAGAATATACAGCTTTAAGCAAACCAAATTATTAATTTATAATTTTTCATGTTTAAAACTTACAAATTCCTTGTTACTAATTGAGCACAATCGAACTTTTTTTTTTCATCCTCTTTCATTTCAGGACTCCATTTTGCCCAGTTTTCATGCCATTGTTTCGTTAAAACATGTTTGTTGGTTAGAAGCTAAAATGGGAATAAATTATTCATCTTTGTTAATTGCACAATATAATGTTTTCAATGTTTAAAAAAACTGTGTAGAATTTACCATACTATACTTCACGATAATTAGTTGAACAACAGTTGGTAAAAGTGCGAGGATAAGTGACCTAGGTAGCGCGTTCTTCCAAATATGATCGGAACATTGAAGATACTCAGGTTTGTCTTCGTTAACATACATTTTTGAGGAGAGGTGTCGTGCGGGTTAGTAATAGGAGGGTTCCTAACTCAGGCCAAAAACATAATTTTTCAATACTTACAAAGTTGTCAGCATTTTCAAGCTCATCATTGGCTAATTGGCCAATTTCCTCAATTTCCTGGCTATTTAATTTATTTCGTTTAGCATTCGTTGAATTTTTATCTCTGTAGTTTCCGATTTACGCTTTCCAGCCTTGTTTTGATATCGAAATACAATATAGGTATCATGGTTAACGTAAAGTACTGGATGTATCATAAATTAATTGTTCTTGAAGTTAAAAGTACTCTTAAGACTTACATTTCCTGCTTTACTCATTGCTATATGTTCTTCCACGGTTTCTTCAGCTATGTTTGCCATCATTTCTTGTGTCTTATTACTTATAGTGACGATGCATCGTCTCTGTACAAGTATTTCATTCAGTAAAAGCTTAAAAAGTTATTCAACCAAGAATATATTTACAGTTTGTAAAGATCTTTCTGAATCTAGGAATAGCCATTTGATTGCATTTCAGAACTGATTAACATCAACATTATTAAGGCGATGTTTCTAGAAATAATCATAATGATAAAGTGTTAATGTAGCTGTCGCAAGATGCTCATGTGAAAAAATATCTATATGCTTAATTATTTTAATTTTGTCGCAGACCACAACGGACAAGAAGACCATAAAGTGGGAAACAAGAAGATTCCCTCCGTAGTTGTGTGAGTTCAACCCCTTCTCAGGACTACTGGAGGTCCCCCATACTGCTTCTGGCAGACCACAACGGACAAGAAGACCATAAAGCGGGAAACAAGAAGATTCCCACCGTAGTTGTGTGAGTTCAACCCCTTCTCGGGACTACTGGGGGTCCACCATACTGCATTCAGATTAAATTTAAAAATACTTCCTCCAAAGCCTTGACTTAACCGTATAGCACCCTTCTTGATGTCTTCTGAGCAGCCCTTTTTGATTAATAAATCCAGACTCTTCTGAAGTATGTCTGCCTCTTTCTAAAAAGAGACTGTAAAATTTGGTTGATTTTTGCAATGCCTGTAAAAGTCTATAAAGCGGTACATTTCAGGAGGCGTTTCATCAAAATAACTATTCCAAGACATTATAAAGGTTTATAAAAGTTTTGTAATTACTTTAATACTCATGTCGAATGATGGATGACCTTAAAAGTATGATGCATGTTACACAACGCATAAAAAAATTTATTTTACACACCATCTATCTATCTATCTATCTATACTATCTATACAATTGAAAATTACCAACACAGTTGATTTCCAAATAGGGTAATTTACAGTAAGTTTCGATATCTTATACGTATTATACATCTTATATGTATTATACATAGCAGTCCCGTGATGATCTGCATCGAATTAATTGGCTGCACATGGTGCCTGTACACTGTAATGTGCCATTCATTTTTACCAGGGGTCTATACACTTTTGCTCTATCGCCGTGGCACTCTACTTCCGAACCTTATCACTCTATGTCCGGCCCAACACGATAATAAACAAATCAACATCGAAAATGTGATTATTCTTTTTATTCTTTCTTTTTGAACATCTGATAACGTAGCTTAGAGAAGGATAGTAAATGACATGGAACAAGAATCAGTAAAAATTAATATTTGGGGGAAAAGTTTCCATATATTAATTCCGTCAAAAAGAAAATTCTGGTTAAATTTATTATTTACTGAGCCTCGCTCTGAAATCTGATCAATGGCATGTAATTAAAGGTACGTAATTAAAGATACATAATTAAAGGCACATATGAGACTAAATTGGAAACGGACTAAAAGAACCATCGTTTGAAAGTTAAGGTAGTTTTCCTAGTTCATTCCCAAGTATGTTTTATATATCATTGATTAAATTTCAAGTGCAAGTCTGGTAAATAATAAATTCATTCCAAAATCTACTAAAATTTAAGCATCTATTAAAGGAATTTCCTGACATTAACGTAAGTTATTTATCAGAAACAGATCCACCGGATTCTGGTAATAGCAAAAATAGCACTAGCGATATCGTGACAACCACATAAACAATCAGACCGAAATTGATTTATTTAATTCTATACATATGTAGAGTAAAAATAACCGAATTTTGGTCAGATTTGGTTATTTGGTTTTCACGATATCGCTCGTGCTATTTTTGCTATTGCTAGAATCCGATGGTTCTGAACGGAAATAAGATCAGGTAAATAACAACCCTGCTTAATAATGATTTTTTCTTTTTCTTGTTATTAAAAATACTATAATAATGCCTAATTATTAAACTCTGATTATTATACCTGTTTTGCAATATGCAGATAAAGGTTCCTTACGTGATAATCTTCACGAAGTATCGTAAATCAAATGGGAAAAAAGTTAAATTTATTAAGTTGTATAACATCTGCCCTTGACGTTATTCATTCACAAATATTTATATGATGTAACATCTTACAAGACGATTTAGATATCGCGTATTTAGGTCTTACATCGCCTGCTAAAAACGATATCGAAATTTTTGGAATTTTACCTTATATTGTACCAGAAGTATTATCAGGTCAATAATCTATACAAGTAGCGGATATCTACTCATTTGGTATAATTATGTGAAAAATATTAACGGAAAAGAAGTTTTCGAGGATTACGAATTTAATGATGATTTAGCAATAAAAATTGGTTTTGAATTGCGACCAAAATTCGCTCCCGGGGCACGCGAATTTTATGTTATGCCAAACTAGCTAAGCAATGTATAGAATCAGATCCAAAAGAAAGACCTACTGCTATATATATTAATGCAGTAATTGTTGATTAGATCGAAGAACTTGCGAATGAAAGCAATAAAACAATAATTAAAAAGCAATTCTTAGAAACTGATGAGCAATCCTTAGAAGTTGATAAACGATCCTTAGAGGGTAATAAGATTATCAAGTATCGTACAAAAACATAAAGTACAATTCAAAACCCATTAACACGCAAGAGATCACGAAAGCATTATTGAAAATGGTCATTGTTCTCGCTTTGATAGATAACATGGAAATTCTGATAGTGAAACATTAAAATCAATTAACAAACATGAATTTATAGTTATTGTTAGAACTTATAATTTCTTTTAATTCAATTTTATATGTATGACTAGTGATGGGACCTCTCAAATTATTAATAATTAATAATTAATTATTAACATTTGGTCGAGTTATTAACTAAAAACTACTTAATAATGTATGGCTTAGCGAATTGATTTAAAACTATATAAAAATATTATAATAACCAAAAGTCAATTTATTTACATGTTGAAAAACTTGATTTCATTATATATGATTGTTTAATATGCAGTTTTAATATGATTACATAGGAATTATTATCTCAACATTTAAATACAGAATAAATAATATTATACTTTCCAAAACTATATGTAATTACATACTGGTTAAATATCTTATAATTGCTAAAAAAAATTTCATTTTGCTTGATCAATTCCTAATAGTACAATGTTTCATCTTTATCTATATAATATATATAACATTTGAGATATACAATTACAATATCATATCATTATTTTTCTTTAACAAAATAATGATCCTTATTTATTAGGTGTTTCTATATGTATTAGATTACAACAATTCCAAAACAATTTTTGGTCTATTATAACCATTCATAAACATTCTTAACCTTATATCAATGATCAAGATAAACATACTTTTAATTTTAAAATTATCCAACTATTCTTACAAATTGTTGTTTTTTTTAGAGCTAATAATAATATATCATGATCAAACATCATCTATTATCAGTTTTAATTTCTTGAACTTATTCTCTAATACTACTCAAATATACAACTATTTAAAAATAATTTAGACAATTAAACTTACTTTATTTTAAATAATTTTGTATCTCAGACAATACTATATTTCTTAAATAGTTATATTTATTATCAAGAATTCTTCATTTATCTAAATACAAAAACTGATCTAGTTTATTAAACTCAAAAATATTTTTATAAAAAATCATTATTATCATTCTCTTAAACTTCAATACCAAAAACAAGAAATTAATCTCTTTATATATAATATATATAATATTCTCAAAAAACATAAACCATAACTAATTATTTTTAATAATAAAAAAATTATTATAAACAAAATCTATAAATATCTTACAGATTCTAACCAAATATCAATCACATATTGGTAAATAAATATTGATATAAACAATACTTTTTTCTTTTTTGTTTTCGTTAAGGCCATTAGTTATGGCAGCTATTGTCTTTATTGTGAATTTAATTATGATTATATAACTTGTACAAGATTACCTCTATACTACACTAGCAGATAGCAGCACAAGCTTCTATACACCTTATTAGATACCATCTAATCTAACCATGACCTCCCTGTCTGTATGTCTGTTAGGCCATTATATATTTTAGAGTATATCACCTAACTATAGAGCTCCAGGGGGCCCCTCTGCTAACTAACTACTCATATTTAATCTTTGCTAACAGGGCTCACCCTTATAAAATTTATCCAAATCCCAGTACTGACTTCACAGCATATCCCTAGTACTTATAATATATCCTGTTTTTGAAACTAGACTCCCAATCCAGATAGCCTGATAAGTCTGTAACCTGTCTCTGGTACTCCAGAGTCTGCCCCCAAGGTCTTTTTTCTCTGATTCAAGACTTTAATTGGTCTTGTTGGTGGTACCCCTTATCCAAGATTCTTGCTTACCCAATTCCTTTCATATTGGTATCCATTTTCTAGGTCTAGCCTTTATAGTAGTACTGTCAAAGATCTATGTTACCTCTTTATTCAGGTCTTTTCAAGTGGGTTTCCAGTTATCCCAGTTCACAGATTTATATGACCACAGATGCTCCATAACCTACCAGTTATCTGGTATAATTGTGTTACAGATATTGATCCCAACTGATCAATAGATAGCCATTGTTGTAGTACTGGTTTCAAGGACTTATCTTGTGTTTGCATTGCCTAATATCAGTTTGCATTCTTTTGTATAACTCTAGCATTGAACAGATGCTCATATACTTCAATTTAACATAGATGGTTTTTCAAATTTTCATCATTAGTGGGTTTTGAATTCCTAATCTACTAGTTGGGGGATTAACAACTTATTCACTTCACTAAGTCATTATATTCTGATATAAACAATACTAATTGCTATTACTTTAATAGATTAATCTTGTTTCTTATCTAGACTATAAATTAAGTTATAATAAATAACTATATCATATATTATTAATACTTTATTTATTATATTTGCCAAATTTTTTAGTAAAATTATTTCAAATTTAGTTAAAATAAAGATAAATTATCTAGATCTTCTTAGTTCTATTACAATTAAATAGCCTTTATTAAATCTTTTACTATTACTATTACCTCCTATTCACATCTTTAATTTCATCTTATCAGCAATTTTTGAAACAAATAAAGCAACTAATAACTTAATAAAATATCTTCTAATAATCTACTATATAACTTATTTAACTTTTATATTAATGGATCAATAATTGGTATAAGTATAAATAATTATATTATGAATATTAGCTAGGTTTAAGTAGATCTTAATAATCAAATTATTTACAAATTTGTTATCAAAATTCATTTCTGGTCATCTTCTTATAAGACTAAACTCTTCTTTATTTTTTTTATTATTTTAATTATTTTCTGAAATTTTACAATTAATATCTATATAGACTTATAATTTATAATATCAAAATTTACTTAATTTAATTAGTCATTTCTAAATTTTAATAAACTCTTTAAATTTAATTCATAGTTATTATAATATATCTTATTAAATACTATCAAATTATATAAATTAAATATTATTTTTTATAAAATTCAAGTTTATTTAAACAATACTTTTAACAATCTAGTAGACTCACTTGTTAAATAATATACAAATAAATTTCTATTATACTTTAATTATATGAATATTCACAACCTATATTATTTATTATTCTTTGAAAAACTCATACAATATTCTGACATCTTCAACATTAATTAAAATATCTCCTAAATTAACAAACAGTCATAATGTGACCTTCAACTACTTAACTCTACCAATCCATCTTGTACTCAACTATGGCTTCAACATGTTTACTTT